GGCACGCCCCGGGGAAAGCTCCCCCCGCCGGAGCTGCAGGTCTTCCTGCACCCAGTGGTCAAGGGTGCGGTGCAGGACTCGCAGTGCCCCCAGGTGCTCCTGCTGGTACTCCTCCACTGCACGGGTGGGCCTGCAGAGTCCTTGAGTGCGGAAGGATGTCCAGGGTGATGTGATGCACCCTCCACTCACAGCTGGTGCTCCTGTGGAGAAACAAGAGAAGTGATCTGTTCTCCCTGGGGACACAGGGGGTGAAGCCCAGCCCCACTCTGCAAAGCAAGGACGACAGGCCTGTACACCATCAGAGCCACTGTGCTTGCACAGAGGCCATGTTTGGGATGCTGCTGTCCCCAGGAGTGGGAGCTGCCCGAGGACTGCACCCATGCCCCTGTGCTGTATATAATGTGGGTGTGTGTGTGCGGGGGGGGGAGATGTCCCCTGCTTCTGTGTAGAGTGGGCTTATGAAGGGAGGGCATCCTGCTGTGTCCCAACCCAGGGTCAGGAGCATGTCCTGTCTCTTCACACACGCGTGTGGCTAACAGGCCAAGGCACCTGTGTGGCAGTCAGCTGGGGCCACTTGCCCAGGGGTGGCACGGCACGTGATGGCACATGCACAAGTTGCTGCGTGATCTGTGATCAGCAAGGCCCACGCGCACTGTCCCTGGTCTCCCTCCCCTCCACACACACATAAGGCGACAGTGATGGCACTCACATGTTGTTGCCTCCCAGGATGACACCGGCGACAGGTCTGCTGAGATGGCTTGGGGGTCCTGGCTGCGCGGCATGCTCCCTCTGGGTTCCTACGGCTCCTGGCCCTCCTCTTCCTCCACCTCCATGCCCTGGTCAGGGCCCTCTGCCTCAGGGTCAATGACCACCTTGGAGGCACAGACCGTCCTGTCCCCCAGGATGCAGTCCAGGGTGTTAAAATAGGGGCAGCTCTCTGGGTCTGCCCCTGTTTGGGAGCTTCCCCCTGTGGTCCTGGCCTGCCACAGCTCCTTAATTTTCATGCAAACCTGCTCCTGGGTTCAGATGTGGCCTTTGGTGGCCAGGCTGGCAGACATCCTGCCATAGATGGCCGCGCTCCTACATCTAGTGTGGAGATCATGGACGTTGGAGGCATCCCCCCAAACCTCAATCAGGTCCATGATCTCCGCACTGGACCAGGAAGTCACCCGCCCAGGGAGTGGTGGAGGGCTGGCTGCTGGGCTGGCAGGCTTAGAGCTGGCACAGACACTGTGGCCAGACTCTACCCATTTAAGGGCTCCGGGGAGGGGGAGAGGAGAGAAGTTTTCCTGGTTGGAGCCAGAGTGGCCAGCAAGGCAACCTGAGAATGACTGGAGACCCCCTATTTTGAAATAGCCCCTATTCCGCATCTACACAGAGCTTATTTTCAAATAGCAATTTCGAAATAGGCGCTATTCCTCGTGAAATGAGGTTTACCAAGTTCGAAATAAGCCCTCCACTATTTTGAATTAATTTTGAAATAGCAGTTGGCTTGTGTAGATGCTAGTACAGTTATTTTGAAATAACAGCTGTTATTTCGAAATAACTTTGCTGTGTAGACATACCCTTTGAAAAGTTTCCATGCCGCTTGCATGGATTTTATCTGTACCTTTTAATATCTGTTCAGCTAACCTCCTCATTTTTGTGTAGTTACCTTTTCTGAACTTAAATGCCACAGTGCTGGGTTGCTGAGGTGTTTTTCCCATGACAGGGATGTTACATTTTATTACACTCTGGTCACTATTTCCAAGCCCAGTTATATTTACCCCTTGGATCGGATTCTGCATTCCAGTTAGGATTAAAACATGAATTGCCTCTCCCATTTTGGGTTCCAGAACTCCAGGAAGCAGTCATTTAAGGTATCAAGAAATTTGATCTCTGCATCTCATCCTGAGGTGACATGTACCCAATCAATATGGGGGTACAGTATTTGAAATCACCTACTGTTACTGAGTTTTTTATTTTGATAGCCTCTCTAATCTCCCTTAGAATTTCATAGTCACTATCACTGTCCTGGTGAGGAGGTTGATAATATATCCCTACTGCTACATTCTTATTATTAGACCATGTAATTACTATCCATAGAGATTATATGGAACATTTGGGTTAATTTAAGATTTTTACTTCATTTGATTCTACATTTTCTTTCACGTATAGCGCTACTTCCCCACCAGCACAACCTGTTCTGTGCTGAAATATATGCCCAGTGAGAATAAATGACACCTACTTGTGCTATTCCAGCAATAAATGCATTAAAACAAGTTGAAATACGCATTTTCTGAGGTGCAATCATGAAACATCCTTCTTGTTGATCGTAGCCGAGCAAGACATACAGATGGCGCTTCACTGTGTTGAAGGCTTTGGCACTGCTGATATCTGACTCAGCACTACTCTCATCTTTGGCCATAAACTTCATTAGCACAGTAATCAGCTGGTGGACCGTCTGATGATCAATCCCTGCATCCTCTGGAAGAAGATCCTTTATTATATTGTCATTCTCTGGAGATGGTTGCCCTATGAGCACAAGAAAGATATTGGTGAAAATGCCTGCAGTGCAAGGCAAAGAAGAAGAAGGCCGCAGACCTCTTTCCAAGAAATCTGTCCCATTTCTTCCCTGATATGTGCATATGAAATCAGTAGGAATTGTGCATGCATTTCTAAAGACAGTAATCTACTGCTGCCTAAATCATAAAGATCCAGAAATACTTTAGTTATATAAAATAAACTCTGTAATTTGTTAAAGTTAAAAATGTTTCAATTGCTCCAATGTTCTCAGTGAACAGTCATACTACATGGGACTGATTCCAATTTTCTCTCACACCAGTGTAGTGCCACTGCATCCTGAGTCCTTATGTCTGGTTTACACTACTGTGAGCAAAAGAAGAAGAATATTTTATTGGTTAGAGCCTCAGCTGGTGCAATTCATCATAGCTCCATTGATTTACTCCAATTTACTCCAATTATAGGTAATGCCAATAAAACTTTAGAGGATAAGAGAGAGGGGAAATCCTTCATTTGATCAAATTCAGAATGAAGGATTTGCCTTCTAACATGCACAGTGCATACTTCCCACACAGAAGAACCATGGCTTTACTTGATGGTTGTGCCATTTTAGATTTAACCAGGAAAGCCACAGCTTTCAAAGAAACACAAAGACCCACTAACTAGTTCCCTAAAATCTATCCAAAGTGTATAAGTAATATCCTGTCTGTTACTCTAAACCTAACTGATGCTTATAATGTAGTATAGTTAATATTTAGTGCAAATATTGTCATGATTATTTTCCACTGTAAGAAGCTGGATTTTAACATTTCCCTGAAGAGTATGAAACCCAAAGAGTACTGCATTTCATTAGCACATGACAATCTGAACAGGAGGAAAACGACTTTGAATGAATGCAAAAAGGAAACAAACAGTAGAAAGAACAAACAGTAATTTAGATTTACAGCATTCTTTCTATTTTCATAATCTAAAATCTTTTCAACAACATTTTCAGATAAGGAATATTTTTACCCTTATTTATGATGTCTAACTTACAGGGCTGGAATTAGTGGTGTAGTATGAAAATATCCCATTTTACAGATGGGTAACTGAGGCACACCAAGGTCAAGGACAAAGCCTAAATTTTCAAGTGACTGTTGATTTCGGATGCTTCAATCTGACACCTTTTTTAAAGGCTCACGGAAAATACTGGGACTCCACCTTCTAAAGTACATGCAAATAGAATAATAGAATACTAAAACTGGAAAGGACCTCAAGAGATCATCAAGTAGGGATGTAAAAAGTTGTTTATAAAGATAATTATATAACTTGCAAAAATCTTACAGTTACACAGTTACATGCACAGTTAACTTCTGCTTAAAAGTTGTGAAGCTTTCCTGAGAGCAGGGCTGCCAGAAGGTCATACAAGACTGTATCAAATCCATTACTAAAGTCTAGGCATATTATGTCTACCACTTCCCCCCCAAGGCTTGTTATCCTATCAAACAAAGCTCTCAGGTTGGTTTGACATGATTTGTTCTTGACAAATCCATGCTGACTCTTATCTATCATCTTTACCTATCATCTTATTACCTTCCACATGTTTGCAGAGAATTTGTTAATTATTTGCTGCATTATCTTTCCTGGCACAGAAGTTAAGCTGACTGGTCTGTAGTTGCTGGGTTGTCTTTATTTCCCTTTTTATAGGAGGGCACTATATTTACCCTTTTCCAGTCTTCTGGAATCTCTCCCATTTTCCATGATGTTTCAAAGATAAAGTAGGTCCAAGATATTTTTAAAATAGGCATGTGACATTTGGCTATTAAATACCTGTATAGACATCTAAAGCTTTATCTAAACACAAACTAACACCAATTTAATTAAGAGTAATAAGGAGTCCTGTGGCACCTTAGGGTATGTATACATAGCAGTTTTATTTTGGAATATTTGACGTTATTCTGAAATAACAGTGCACATCTACACTACAAGCCATTATTTCAAAATAAGATAGAGCTGGGGGACTTTATTCTGACTCATGGTAACCCTCATTTCATGATGAGTAAGGGAAGTTGAAGGAAGAGTGCTCTTCCGTCAACTTCCTGCTGTGTAGACAGCGCCAAAAGCCAAATTAAGCGATTTCAACTTCAGCTACGCAATTCACATAGCTGAAGCTGCGTAACTTAATCTGACTTTACCTCTGCTGTGTAGATGTGCCCTTAAAGGCAAGCAGATTTATTTGGGCATAAGATTTCGTGGGTAAAAACCACTTCATCAGATGCATGAACTCAGAGGTCTTATCAAATGAATGTTAGGGTGCATCTACACTGCATGCAAATTACATGGGATGTCAGAATAGTGAGTCTGTTAGGTTTCAGAATAATGGGTGTGCTCTAAAGATGTGGAATAGCTATTTCAAGATACCTCCTGTATCCAAAAATTACTATGCAGTGTAGACATTGCCTTAGTCTTTAAGGTACGTTAAGACTCCTTATTGTTTTTGAAGAAACAGACTAAAACGGTTACCAGTCTGAGATTAACGTGTTTTTAAACTGATTAAAGACAATGTAAATTTGCATGTACTAATTTTGGTTTACAATTGATTTATTTTAATTTTGGCTTAAACCTGTAAAAATATGAATTAAACTAATAAAAACTCTAAAAAGTGTGAGCTTAAATTGATTTAATAAAACCACTGCAAACACCACTGAGGGCAGTTATTCCAGTTTAAAGAGAGATGGTACCTACTTATAATAAATGGAGTTCAAGAGATATTCCACTGTGAGATTCACATGTGCTTAATGAGATCCAAAGTTCTCATTCATAGTGTCTGTTGGTCCATGCCTGCATTTGTTCACACTAACCCACAGATGCTGGAACTAGGGGCGGGGGGAGGAGTCGGAGGTGCTCCCGCATCCTTATTTTGACATGATTTCCATCATGAATGGGGTTTAGTTCGGCTCAGTGGCTCTTAGCACCCCTATCATACAAATTGTTCCAGCACTCCTGGTACTCATGGTACTCAGTAGCCCTTTATTTGGTCCATGAAACATCATCATTTTACAATATGTATTAGCATGTCTCTATTCCTGTGATCCTTTGCACTACAGATAAAGTATCAGAGGTACTGAGTACCTACAATTCTAACTGAAGTCAACAGGAGCTGCAGCTGCCAGGCAATTCCAAGTATCAAGGCCTTTTTACAAAAACAAAATGTGAATAAAGCGTAAGTGTCGGCAGAAAATGCAATGTAATATAATTCCAAGACGATCTGTTTAGGTATTGATTAATATAAAGTACTTGCTGCACAACTCAAGTTCATTTTCTTTTTTCAGGTATGAGTCAGGGCTGCAGCAGTGCCAACTGCAAATATTCATCAGTCAGGCCTTCAAAAATCACAAGACTTTTAAAAAACATAATAAATGTTGGGTCTTTTTGCTCTCTGGTTTCCAAGCCTTTATGATGCATTTAGGTTTTGATTTCAGGCTTCTGCCTGTTTCATGCTTGAGCTGAGTGGGATTATAAAAGGAAAGGGATGTTGGTTCAAAGGAGGCTATATGATCAAGCAAGGTTGTGCCCCGCACCATTCCCAAATCACTGAAACTGGGAAGGCCTTGCATGTTTATCATCCAGTTGATTTGTTCTGGTTTTGAGCTTATATTTTAGGAAATAAACTATTTCTGAAAAAATGGACATGAAGAGGCCTGTAGCTGAGACTTTATATTTCTGTCCCCTGCCAGTGAGCTTGTGCACTGATTTATATCCAGCAGAAAATAATATATTATTGTTGTTGTTGTTGTTGTTTATTGTTGTTTATTGTTGTTATTATTATTTATTATGCAGTGACACTAAGGAAACCCAAGCACAGAACAGGACCCCATTGTGGTAGATGCTACACAAATCCAGAACAAGTGGACAGTCCCTGCTCCAAGAAGTTTACAATAAGTATAAGACAAGAGACAATAAGTGGAGACAGACTGACAGACGAAGAAGTTATAACTTACAACAATTTGCAGGCCAAAATCGTTCCTTCTTCAGGCACTCAACATTTTAAGAAAGAACCTTTTTGATAAGCCAATGAGTGATGCAAATGATATTATGGTTCAGTTAAAGAGATCACATTTTGTCCTGTATGTGGTACACACCTCTCTGATCAACAATGGATGTACTCACCTGGCGTTTGTTCTGGTGTTCCACCAAGTGCTGGAGCAGACTGCTCATGCCTCGTCAACCTCGCAGCTAAAAAACAAGAACAACTCTGTCTAAATAAGCTATGGAAACATCTTAAGCTTCAACATACACTCAACATTAACCTGAGTTTGATCTAAGAGCATTCTCAAGTGTATGTATCCATTGTATAAATCAATCATGCAGTTTTATACACTGTGTCCCATAACTCTAGTCTCCTTTATTACTCAGTTTTTCTGGTCCAAGAGTCATTAAACATGCAGGACTTATACAGGATCCAGAGTAAATCAATAAAAATGATACAAGATTTACAGATCACAAAATAATTTTGGTTTTAATTTGGTTCCCTAATAATTTTAGAGAAAAAAATCTAATTAATCTTGGCAGTTCATTGGCACCAATCACTCAGGTTAATTTTAACAAACATTATACATATCATAGGGTGTGTCTAGACTACATGGCTCCCTCAAGGGAGCCATGTAAAGTAATTTACTCGATATAGTCAATGAAGCGGGGATTTAAATAATCCCCACTTCATTAAAATAAAAATGGCCGCCGCACTGTGCCTACAATCAGCTGATCCTGCACAGCGTGGCCGTCTAGACACGGCGTGGTCCACAAGGGAAGCCTTTGTCGAGCACTCTGGTAAACCTTGTTTCATGAGGCATACTGGAGTGGTTGACAAAAGCTTCCCTTGTCGACTGCGCAACGTCTAGACTGCTGCGCTGTGCTGGATCAGCTGATTGTCAGCACAAATGAAGTGGGGATTATTTAAATCCCCGCTTCATTGACTATATCGAGTAAATTACTTTACATGGCTCCCTTGAGGGAGCCATGTAGTCTAGACACACCCATATAGATTGAGGGGGTATTAAGTGTTGCTGAATTTTCTTTTAAGTACAGGACAAATTAATATTTGTAAAGTGCTCTAAAAATGAAAGGAAGTAGATTTAATTTAACCATAATTTTTCCTATTATAAATTATAAATATTCTAATCATTCATATTTTTGCAGCACATACAGCCCAGAAGATTTTAAGAATCAATTTCTTCATATGTAAGATAATTATAAAAATATTTTTATGCACATTGTTATACTGCTAAAGGAAATATAGAACAGCTATAGCAAAGAATTTATTGTTGTTTGTAAAGTGCCAAGCACATGTACAGTGCTGTATAAATTGACAAATGTGGTAATTAATAATAATCAGTAATAACTAAATCACTTTCTAAAAGCTACATCTAGTTCTTGTCCAAGTAGACAACACATTAGCTTCCAAACATAGTTTAAAACTATCTACAAACCTGTTTCAGAGCACTTCAGTCTATCAGTAAAACAAGTACAGCACAGAAGTGGAACGCTGTCCATGTCATTTGTAAAACTCACTGATTTCTAACAACCTGAATAATGTTTGAGTCTGGAACCCAGATACACTAAACTGGCCCAACTGGATGAATACTGAAAGTCCCATTGCGTACTCATCAACAGGATGCGATCTTAAAGGGAGAAGATGCAGACTTATCACAAAAATATAAATGGATACTCAACGGATTTTGGTGGTTAAGGTTTCTGGAAGGGAGAGTGCTCTCTTTGATTCCCCAGGTCCCTTCACACTGTCCCTCAGGGAACGCACGCTCTTCTGACGATTACGTGCAAAACGAGCCCTCTTGATTTTCCACATAGCTGTATCACTGAGGTTGGCGACATTTGTCCGGACAGCAGTGATAGCTTTACAAATGGAATTGACCAAGTTAGGATTCATTCCAAGGCATATTCAGTGCAATTCTGCAAAGTGCCACATGGAGGCAGAGTGCGAGCTCCACTGAAGTCAACAAGTCTTAGTATAGGTGCAGGGGCTCAACTGTGAGGAACTCATTGTATAATCTGAACCACCTGTTGTAAAACCCCAAACACTTTACCCATATATTTTAAAAAGTAACTTAGCTTCTTCACTAAATAATAGAAATGGGACAACATGAGGCTCCTCTATCCAAACCCTTTAGAATTGAAGATAAGAGAGCAGAAATCTCATAAGAACAGCTCAGAAAGTTTCAGTGCTATCAAATCAAAGTTTGTAACCCAGGCTTGCTTTGGTCTCAGGCTTGAAACCCGAACAGCCTATGCTTAAATCAGATCTGCATCTGAACACTGCCTCCTGAGTCCTCTGACCAAGGTTCCCCTTTCCAGGAGACAATAACCAGTGCACTTCCATTGGCTTAAACACACCTGGGAATATGAAAAAACAACAAATGGTCTGGTAGCATTTGATACTATCTACATGTTTTGTTCGTCTATAAAGTGCTACCAGACCATTTGCTGTTTTTTCCTGTACAGACTAACTTGGCTACCCCCTGAAGCTTCTGGGAATATGACACTTTCAAAGCCCTTTGATTTTTATAGTATGAGAGCTTCAAAAGCAGATAATCAAATCCCCTAAATACCTTATGGTTATGTTTACAAAGCCAAGAAGCAAATATTAGGGTTATTAATAAATAAGATTATTGTTTTGTCTTAGCCCACTGGCAGATGAAAAAAGATAGGATCTCATGGGCATCTTAACAGGAAACTGGGTATGTGCAGCACCTCTTTTAACAAACTGTTATTAACTGTTGCAAAAGCCCCAAGTATTTGTCATATTATATCACCATCCCCATTTGTGTCTTTTGGACTGTATGGCTCTGGGATTATCTCTTTTCCTATCTTTATGCAGCCGCCCCAGCAGAATGAGGCTCAAACATGACAGGGGGCCTTCGTAAATAATAACAAGTATAACAGTAATAATATAATGAGAGTACAAACTACAAACCATCTGGGCTTGAGGTCAAGAACAGTGTTTGGGGAACTGGTTCTAAAGAACATTCAGGCTAACTCAGTTTGACCTGGATTATTCACAGAAGCAGATCATGTTTCAACCAAGTCTAAGAAACATATTTAAACAAAAACAGAAAATGGTGTCCAAAAGCCTTTAAACATAAGTGTATCCTAATCTGATCTAGGTATGTTTACACAGGGTAATTCGCTTCGCATACGTCTAGACTGCATCCCTCTGTCGACAGAGGGATACAAATCAAGCACGTCAAAATTGCTATTGAAGCAGGGATTTAAATAACCCATGCTTCATTAGCATAAACATGGCTGCTGCTTTTTTTCAAAACGGAGCTTTTTCGAAAAAAAACCAGCAGTCTAGATGCGGATCTGTTGAAAATAAACCCTTTTTCAACAGATCCTGTATTCCTCAAAAAATGAGGTTTACAGCATCTGTTGAAAAAGGGTTTATTTTCAACAGATCCGCATCTAGACTGCTGGTTTTTTTTCGAAAAAGCTCCGTTTTGAAAAAAAGCAGCAGCCATGTTTATGCTAATGAAGCATGGGTTATTTAAATCCCTGCTTCAATAGCAATTTTGACGTGCTTGATTTGTATCCCTCTGTCGACAGAGGGATGCAAATCAAGCACGGCAAAATTGCTAATGAAGCAGGGATTTAAATATCCCATGCTTCATTAGCATAAACATGGCTGCTGCTTTTTTTCAAAACGGAGGAGAGCTGAATTCCCACAACGGTGAAAGGTAATGTGTTTCTGATTCTACTTACTTGTTGGAAAAGGGAATTCTTTGTTGCAGTCCAGGTGAAGCTGTGCTTCTAGAGAGAGTGTCTCAAAGCGATTCACGAAGAACTCCCAGCTTAAAGCCGGAATGTCTTGCTTGAGAAAATGAAGGAGCAAAAGCTTGCTGAGAATTGTGGGTCTGTCTTTGACAACTGTATCAAACTGGAAATCAAGACAAAGGCACAAGCCCTGTGAGGGAAAAAAACAGAACTCAGATGTGAAGAGCATAACAAGTGTTCTTTAAACTAGAGAGACAAACCCCACAACATCTCTAATTCACTTATAGAAAATAAAGACCTGGTTTTGGTCTCTCACACATGTCAGATGGGAATCACCCTACGGATGTTGATGGAAAACCAATGTCAGTGACAGGAGAATTAGGCTTTTGTTTTAAATGGGAATTTTCCATTTTAAAACAGAGCAAAATTCTGTCCCATTACTTGCAGTACACAGAATTCTCCCTGATCACACCTTGTTACTCCATTGATTTCAGTGATGCTGTATCACTGTATTGAACCTAAGTAATTTTAAAATGGAGGAAGCAACTAACAAAGAATATAAGAATCAATGCCAAAGCACACCATTGCAGTGACATGCATGTCAGGGAGAAGAACATTGTGAGTATTAACAATGCAGATGTGCATATCATGCAAAACCCTTTACCTCAGAATTTTTGGGTCAAATTCTGCCTTTATTTTCATTCATGCAAACCCACTGCTTTTAAGAAGTCTTCAAAAGTAAGTGGGTTTGCAGAATTTGGCTATTTATTTCCAGGAGAGCCATAAAAGTAGCATTAGGGTTAGTGCACATAACTAGAAAGGGGGATTTACTTGCTAACAGAAATCCAAGGAGTTTGATACAATTCATGGAGAGTGGAGACTATTAAAGTATGTACCACTAGAAATGTATGTTACCGCCCATTAATTCAATCAGTGAAATATGCTGGGAATTTATCAGTAAATCTACTGGCTCAACTATTTAAGTAATCAAAAATGTTATTTTAAAGATTGTAATAACTACATTGGTCAAAATTATAGGTCTGATCCTGACTTTCTAGTGTACCCAAAATTTTGATTGATTTTAATAGGAGCTTTAGGTTCAAAAGGAAAGAAGGTTCGGGCCCCAAATGAGAAAAACAGATTACATGGTTAAAAGTATCAAAGGCATCAAACCTAATAAAATGCTGCTGTGGTTTATTAGCACACAAATTTTGAGCTTTATGTCAACAATCATGTTTGAAAAAGACAACAGGCATTAAATATTTAACAAGTGCGGCATTTGTGGGACAAGTCTGTCTTCCTCAACAAGAACCACCTTTGGCCAGACCACAAAGAAAAGTCTGGTTTAGGCAGTTATTTGTAGTGTTTGGCATATGCAATCAATATGGTAAAGCACTCAGGGACACATTTTCAAAGATTTACACAGGACTGGAGCTGTGCAACTCCCAGTGACTTCAGCAGAATTCACATTCCCTGAGCTGTGCTTTGAAAATCTGTCCCATATATAATATAAAATAGCAAAACTATTAACTGCATTTTATGAAAAACTGTACTGGAATTATTTAAATACCCTTTCAGTTTTATCTACGAGAAATAACTAATACCAGATATTGCACTCAACTTTATAATGAGATTTTTTTTCATCTTGTTTATAAATGTAGGCCCTGATTCTGCAAATATTTATATATGTGCTTCATTTTAAACATGAGTAGTCCGATCAGTGGGTCTTCTCACATACTTACAGGTAAATGTGTATAAAGCTTTCAAAGATCAAGGCAATACGTAGCTTTGTTTTTATTAATTTTCTGCTACCCATTCTGTAAGGCCCTATATGTTCAGTTTTACCTTGTTTAAAAATTCCTAGGAATATATTAGTGCTTACTATAAGAAATAAAAAATGGGTGAAAAATCAGTGCAAAAATGAACTTCACAGTTTAAATATTGGTGGACAGGAAGACAGAAAAAACATATAGGCTACGTCTACATTGCACTCTCTTGCGCAATAACATATGCAAATGAGGCGTGGCAATGAATATCCCTGCGCCTCATTTGCATACCTAATGAGGCGCCATTTTGCACAAGGGGCTTTTGCGCAAGAGCCGTTCTGTATAGACAGCCCTAATACAAACACATTTTCCTCATATATTAGATTTTCTTAACATAATCAGTATTGTCCTGGACATGATTTATCCAAATTTAGGGTGAAAAATCAACAAAAATTGAACACTAGCTTCTGTAAAATCTGGGCATTTTTCAGTAAAAAATCATTGAAAACTGAAAACAGAAGACATGACCTGCGAGTCAGTAGATTTTTGAACTATTTTTTTCCATAGCTATCAAGAACAAGATGGCGTGTTTTCTGAGATTACTGTGATGGGCCAAACTCTAATCTATGAACACCTTTGAACTTTGAGAAAAAAATGGGTCAAGATCATATCTTTGTCACTTGGACTCATCTCTTGCTTTGATTCATGCTTTTGTTCCGTATGGTGAACATACCTGCAAAGCTGGCCTCTTTATGGTGTCAAGTAATAGCCCAGCTCTAGTAGCCACTGCTGGGTTGACATCTTCCACGGCAGTCAAAAAGCAGCAGAATGCATGAGCCAAAGAATATTTCAGCAGGTGATTTTTTGTCACTGAGTGAATATCCAGAAACCTGCACAATACAGCCACTTTCTCTACTGTAACCCACAAACAGAGAATATTCACATTAGTTCATGCAGGGACCTTTTTTCCTGTGTTTTGAACAATATACAAAAGCATGATTCTCGTAGAAAACAACAAAGGATAATTGAAACACCAACTTGTTTCCATTTTCAGCTTTGTACAACACATTTTTCTACAACACAGCTATTGCACTTTTTTCTCATTATCCCAATTAGTTACAGTTTCCCAGCTTTACCACCTTGTGTCACACGGTCAGTGCAAAGTAGCGCCAACGTCAGCACAGACAGCCACAGGACGATCATTCCAGTACAGGAAGATCTTTTGGAGCCACAGAGCCAGCCCAGCTTTCTATGCCTCTCAACTTGCCCACAGCTGCTGGCAGGGCTACAGAAAAGGGCTTTTCAATATATAGATTCATAGGGCAAAATGTATTAATCTCACCTGACTTTCCAAATAACACAGGCAAAAAAAATTCTCCCAGTTCTCAGCACCCTGGCAATCACAAACAGCTTTAATGGCCCTTTGATTGTAGCTAGAGATGTGTGATACTTAACCGTTACCTTAATGGCCCTTTGATTGTAGCTAGAGATGTGAATGGGTAACGGGTTGACCTGTTGAGCATCACCTTTAATGTGTGATACTTAACCGTTACCTGGGAGCAGCCCTCTGCCCGTGGCCCATTGTGGGCAGAGGGCTGCTCCAGCCCTGGGGGGCTTTTGGCTCCTAGTTTAATTGGTTAACTAATTAACAGATTTTACATCCCTAATTGTAACAGCTGCTCCTTTCTTTTCATTCTCTATTTCAAATATCAGGATCACTTTGATTTGAAAGGCTTTCGTCTTTTAAGGAGCAGATGGCAACAATCACCGTTTTTTGGCATTAAACTTGAGCTAGCATCGTAATCCTTCACTGAGAATATTAACCCAATGGGCAGCAATATATTACTGTTTATTCTGATATCGGAAGGATATAAGTATGAGTGGAAATTAATAGAGATTTTTATCATGCTGCAAATGTACTCCAATAATGGACAGTTAAATAACCTTTAAAAGGAAGTACAAGGGGCAATGCTCATTATTTGATGTATTTAAGTTAAACTAGCCAAAACATTAGAAAATGGAATGCAAGGAACAACTGTGCATTGTCCAGAGTGGGTGGACTGTGTGGAGGACCTAGTGGGTCTTTTCTATCAACCAGTGTCAACTAAATGCTTACAACTGACAAAGCCCCTTCCTCCCTGCCATAGCAACCTGCATGCAAATATCATAAGCTTCTCAGACCTACCTGCTTCAAACCTTATCTTCCAATCTTTGCTATTAAAATTGTTGTTTATGATTGTCCAGAAAATATCAGCTCCATGAGGAAGTGACAGGGCATGTAGAAGGAGTGGGACAGCTAATGAAGAAAGCTGAGAGAAATCCGACTTCACTACTCTCCATAAACTAGAAGGGCCAACAAAAAAAAAATCTGATCACAAAATCTCTTTTACTTCACAGAGTGTCCTTCAGGCTAAATATATACATTATGTTGCTGAGGGGAATTTGCTTCATAAGAAAAGGGGTATATTTGTGAGTGGACCCCCAGCACTCACATTAACAATACAATGTTGTTGGATGTGGAAATCATTGTAATGGAATTTTGTCAGGGGAGATGCTAGCAGATTTTGGAAACTGTTTGTCACAGACATTCACCAGCATAACTGAGACAGAAATGCATTACTTCACCTGGAAAAAACTTACATCTAACTCAGTGTAAGTGTGTGGAACATTGGAACTGCTATGCCTGAGCAGATCAAAGGTCTATCTCATCTGACGACCACTCTCCATTAGTGATGCTTTTGCACCTGCATACTGTTGGTCATTCCCCCTTTGGTTTTACACTAGCCAAACGACCTATTTCTCAGCTAATGTTAAGGAGACAGTAGGGAATTTTCCAACTATTTTTTTTCTGACAAAATGTTTTTGTTCCTTAAAATGAAAGTCGTTCCTGGTAAAACTTTTCCAAAATGTTTTTGATTTTTTATTGGGAAAATCTAAATGATTTATTTAATTTCTGATTGGGTGTTCCTGACTCAATACTTTTTGGTTTTTTGAACTGAATTAAACATTTTGTTACAGATCAGTTCAACTTTTATCTGCATCCAGCTGAATAGCTGCAGTGCCCCATGGAAGCTGTAGTTTAGATAATTCATGCCCCCTTTCTCACCTATGGGCTTGGCTCCAAAACCTGATTCTCATGATGCACCTCGTTCTTCCCCTTAGCTGCTCCTATGGTGCAGCACAGGAAATGTAGTCTGGTCCACAGAAGGGAATGGAGAGCATGAAGCACACAAATTACAATCCTTGTGAGGTACTGCAATATTTCAGGTAGACATATTTCAATGTCAAGCTGAACCTAAACACGTCAATATTTAATTCCATTAAAAATTTCAAATTTTCAATTTTTCATCCAAATTCAGAATGTGAGAACATAAGAACAGGCATATTGGGTCAGACCAATGGACCATCTAACCCAGTATCTTGTCTCTAGACAGTGGAAAATGCAAGAAGCTTCAGAGGGAACAAACAGACCAGTGCAATTAGTAAGTGATCCATTCCCTATTGTCCAGTCCCAGCTTCTGGCAATCAGACGTTTAGAGACTCCCAAAGCATGGGGTTGCATCCCTGACCATCATGGCTACAGGCACTGATGGACCTAGCCTCTATGATCTCATCCAATTCTTTTTTTAACCCTGCTATACTTTCAGCCTTGACAACAGGTCTCAAAGGTTTATGTGTGTAGTGTAAAGAAGTACTTCCGTATCTCAGTTTTAAACCTGTGGCCTGTTAATAACTGAGGGTATGTCTACACTACCCCGCTAGTTCGAACTAGCGGGGTAGTGTAGACATACCCTGGGTGATCCTGGGCTCTAGGCTCCTATGTTACATGAAGGGTAAATAATACTGCCTTCATCATTTTTACCATACCGTGTATGATTTTATAGACCTCCATCATGCATCTGCACCCCGTCTTCTCATTTTCTAAGTGGAACAGTCCTGTTTTTTAAAATCTTTCCTTATAGGAAAACTGTTCCATGCCTTTGATCATTTTCATTGCCCTTCTCTGTACCTTTTACAATCCTAATTTTTTTTTTTAAATGGGGTGACCAGAATTGCACATAGTATTTAAACAGTGGAGGTACCATGGATTTATATAGCAACATTATGGTATTTTCTGTCTTATTATCTATCTCTTTCCTAATGGTTCCTAACATTCTATTAGATTTATTGACTACAACTGTTCATTCAGCAGATATTTTCAGATTATCCATGATGACTACAACATCTTTTATTTTATACAGCTAAAATAGACTGTATAATTTAGCTGTATAATAATAATAATAATTTGTATAATAATAATATAATAATTTGTATAATATAGACAAAAACAAAATGTCAAAATACCAGAATTTGCTGATTTTCTATCAGCTCTAGTTAATGTCTAATATAAACATTGCCATATACACTCTTGAGAATAGAGATACTGTGCCACCCTTCTTATTATTATCATTATTTACTCAGTACCACAAGTGCACGTGGTGCCTTACAAACAAATAAAAAACCCCAGGAAAGCTCTGAAGATTTAACAATTTAAGATTAATCCTGTACTGCTGCCAAGGAGACAGAGTATCTAAAAAATGGAGCACTGGACTGAAAGTTAGGATACATGGTTTCTGTTCTCCGCTGTGAGATGGCCCCAATGAATGATCTTGGACGAGTCACTTCAATTTTCTATGCCTCTGCTTCCCTTCCCACCCTTTGTCTATCTTGTCTATTTAAACTGTAAGATCTTTGAAGTAGCAGCTGTCTCTCACTGTGCACAATGCCTAGTACAACAGACCTCTGATCCTGAATGGAATTTAGAAAGAGTATTCTAATATAGACAAAAATAACAATTCCTGGGTTAAAAGCATACCTTGCAATCAACATATGATCTTGAATGTAAGCTAAGAACTGTGGATGGTCCTTTCTTGCAATGTACAAACACTCCCCATGAAGACAGAGAATCTTCAGACAGTTCAGCATGTTAAAAAGAATGTCTGGCTCTTCAAATCTAGCCATTTCCTGTGCAAACAATTCATAATTAATGTTAATGTCAAAGCAGGGATAACATTAAATCAAATTGTATATAAAAAGTAAACCACTGTACCTGCAATATAGTGTATATGAGCTTCAAGGTAACTGGAAGTTGCTGGTAACAGAATTTTCTTTCAGTGTCATTTTTTATTGCTGCTAAAATTAAGTTACATGAGAGTCATTAATATATCACCTCTTTTGCTGTTTGGGAATTAAACTAAAAAATAAACCAAGGGATGGTGAGATTGCTGCACAGGGCAAATGCATCTCAGGGTATGTCTACACTGCATTCCTCTTTCGAGAGAGAAATGCAAATTCAGCTGAGCGAAATTGCAAAAGAAGCATGGATTTGAATTTCCCGCACTTCATTTGCATAATCATGTCCGAGCGCTATTTCAAAATAGCACCCAGACGTGATTATGCAAATGAAGCGCAGAAAATTCAAATCTGTGCTTCCTTTGCAATTTCGCTCAGCTGCATTTGCATTCCTCTCTCAAAAGAGGAATGCAGTGTAGACATACCCTCAGTTGCATCTCTACTGTAGCCAATAGAATTATATCAGGTATTAATATGACCCATAACATTTTACTACCTGATCAAAAAAATGGGTTTTTAAATGATTTTTGTGTATAACAGGAACACAACTTTCCCACAGAATGAACAAATTTAAAAAGTATTAAGTGCATGAAAAAACTATCAATCCTGTGCTGTTGGACTTGCAGGACTACTGAAAATCTTTGCATGATTTAAGGAACAAATCTAAATCAATGCTTGATTTAACATCTAGTTCAACTGTCCCCCTAACTTACCTGCATTTTCTGTTGTCTCTGTATGATTTCCTGGGTTTTCTCCATGTTTTGTTGCAGATTTATCTTCCTCTTCACCTTCAGTTCCTATGATAAACTCAGGTCTAGTATACAGAAGACTATCCTCAAGGTTGTCTGTGGGCTCCTATAAGAACATAATAATGACTATACCTAGCTCTTATTTAGCCTCTCTCATCAGTAAATCTCAAAGCAGTTTACAAAGGAAGTCAGTATAATCATCCTCGGGGAAAATGAGGAATTAAATTCATTTCTTGATGTACACTAGGCCCAATCCTGATCTTTAAGCTAAATCTGGCATACATAAACAGGGCCCAAGCTGAACACGAATGGACTGTATACATGTACACTTCGGTATGGTAACGTTAACATTTCCAAACTTGGGCATTCAAGTGAACGACTCTCATGAAATGTAATCAAGGATCTTTAATAATCACTATAGTTAAAAGTGACTAGTAATATGGGGTGCCCAACCTAAAACAGTTTAGAGGGATGTGATTTTCTAAACACCAGGCCCTTTCAAGGAGTCTCTAGCCAGGCATTTGAAAATAAAATCACCCAAATTTACTAGTCATCCTTTTTCATCTGAAACACATCACCTCCAACAGCTGAGCCCTGCCAACACTAGACTGAATCAATGCTGATATAGAAGGAAGGGTGCCTCCTTATTATATTCATATCATCGCTATATAGTGTGCCTTGAAAGTCTCCCATCCAAGCCTTTAAGTTCTGGCAAAGCAATGGGAATTTTGCTATAGAATTCTTGTATGCATAAGATCAATGCAGTTTACTTCCTTATGTCAGGCTAATTCAAACAGGAGTCTTCGGGAATTTTCATAATTTGTTATTTAATTACATAAGCCTTTTCTTTCACTACTTACCACTAGCCTGATTTCTTCTTTTGGAGCAAGTCGCTCTAGCAGCTCACAAGCCAACTGGTAACAGAGAATGCTAGACTGGCACAGGTTACATTCCACTACTTTTTCATCTTTCTGGCAGGTATGAGAGCCACCCCACGGTGCCTGAAACACATTGTTTATGATGGAAATTATATCCTTCGAGAGACTGTTCTCCAAACCCAAGGTGATGCCATCATCTTGGAGTTCCATCTGAAAATCAATGATAGAATGGTAAGGAATTAATTATTTGATTAATGATCAGTGCTCTTCCTAGTCTTCTAATTCTCACATTACAGCCAATATTAAATAAACTATACAGAGAGGATTATGACATGTAGCTTGGCTCACTGTTTCAAAAGTGGCCACGGATTTCTAGGTGTCCAACTTTGGATAGGATTTGCATAGCCACAAAGAGGATTTGCATGTCCAGTTCTTATTAATTTGAATAGAAAAAGGTAATCTACATAAGTAAATCTTAGTGCTAGCCATATCGTAAGGTCCAGTAGAGATACGTTTGGTGCAGGACTTGAGGGTAGAGATGGCTTTACATTAACTTTGTGCTTTCCCCTGAGTTTGCAGGGTTCAGTTAGGCTCACAGCACAGTTAGACCAGCGTCTTGGCTCCTTTCATTTATCCCAGTTGGTAATAGACTGCAGGGGCCATTATTCCAGCTTAAGATTGTCAGAGCAAAGCTGTGCTCTCCTCACCTCCTTTTTCCTGCCACACTCCCGACATGCTCCCTAAATCTGTGGCTGTGACCACAGATTGTACAGAGCTTTATATGACAACTCTATCCTGTCATGTGACTCCTCCAGCCAGCAGCAGCCACAATTTTATGTCTTCTCTGCATCACTTGAGTAGCACAAAGGGACTTCAGCAGAGGCTGGAATCAGAAATCTGAGCCTGATTTTTGAAGCAGCTGATCATCTACAAATCAGCTGCTAATAGGGCTATGCAAGCACTCAAAAACTAACGGCCATTTCTGAACCTTTGGAGTTATATCTAGAGAGTACTGCACTGGGTTATGCCATTTTCAGCCTATCATCTTAATTAATTAGCTATTCTGAAACAGAATGGAGCCCATTATAAAAAATTACTTAAATGAAATAAAACACTATATGGTACAAAAAAACAAGAATGAGAAAGACATTGACTACACTTTATCTTTATTGTGGTTCCTAATCTTTATTTGGTAAATTCTATATTAAAAGGTAGGAGCTCAGAATTTCACACAATTTAACATAAGGGATTCACTGGTAATAAACCTAAACATTGGATGAAGGCATCCACATTAAGGAGGTATCTTCACTAGGAAAAGAGATGTATTCCTAACCAACATGAGGTAAAACCTTAGCTGAAGACAAGGCAATTTGTAGTTCGCACCTGAGCTAGCAGCCCAGTCTTTAACTTCACTTGTTAACTCACAGGAAAACTACACACTGCCTTCACTAAGATCCTACCTCATGTTAGATAACTCAAGTTAAACACACACCTTTATTCTAGTCTATATCTACACTAGCACTTTTCTCAATATAACGTATGTTGCTCGGGGGTGTGAAAAAACCCTGAGCAATATAAGTTACACAGACACAAGCAACGATGTGGACAGCGCTATGTTTCCGAGACTTTTCTGCTGACTTAGCCACTACCACTCGTTAAGGGTGGTTTAATTACATCAATGAGAGAAATCTCTCCTGTTGGCACAGAGCAGCTACACAGAAAATCTTACAGCTGCATTGTTACAGTTGTGCTACTCTAAGGTCTCTACTAGAGACATCTACTAGAGACATGGCTTTAGCAAAAATATATCTTATGGGGTTTTTAACACATACATTTGCAAATAGTTCAGCCACTTCAATCAAATACAATTTGTTAAACCACTGAAAATCTATGTATGGACATGCTTATTTTAATTGAAAAGTGGTTTACTTCAGTCTTATTTATTTCTATTCTTAAGAACTTGTCTACCTACAGAAGTGTCTACATTTAAAAACAAGGGAGCTGCCCTGCTCTAGGTAGCATTTTAGTGTAGACACTCACTAAAGCTATGGAAGGGGTTCTTCTGGTGCCATAATCAATCCACCTCCCCAGAGGCAGAATTCTTCCATGAGCTCCCTCAGGGCTGTGTTTTTTTCACAGCCCTGGGAGACTTAGCTGGGTCAACCTAACTTTTTAATGTAGATGTGCCCTTAAATTAGTTTATAAAGCAGGGACAGGGAATCTCCAGCACAGCAGCCAGACGTAGCCAATGCGAGATGCTCTGTTTACTTGAGTGTCCACAGGTACAGCTGCTCGCAGCTCCTAGTGGCCATAGTTCACCATTCCAGGTCTATGGGAGCTGCAGGAAGCAGGGCCTGGCTCATGTTACATCATGCAGCTCCCCTTGGCCAAGAGTGGCAAACCACAATGAATGGGAGCTGCAAGGGGCCACACCTGCGGACACTCGGGTAAACAAAGTGTCTGGCAGCCCACCAGAGGCTAACCCTGATGAACCGTGTTCAGCCTCCAGCCCTAATGTTCTCCATGCCTGATAAGGCACTTAGAAGTTTGTATTGATTTTAACGATGTGAACACTATTATTCTGGTTTAAATGTGCCTTATTCTGATTCAGCCTAATCTATTCAACAACTTGTTCACAAAGAGCTTCCATCAATTTAACTAAAGCGATTTAAAATTATACTGAAATTAAACCTGTGCAACTTTCTCGTACAGACATGTGCTAACTCTGGCTTAAAGTAAATTTTTAAAAAACCTTGTTTAAAGCAAAACAAGCATCCATCATGCCTTTTGTACCAGTTTAGCTAAATTGGTTTTAAAATCACAGGTTCAGTTAAATCAGCAAAATTCTGCACTTAGCTGTAAATTGAAACAAGTCCCATAACATGATTATGTGGTTTAGATCCACATATTTTTCATATCTTTTGCCTATTCTGATCATCTAAACATGTGAATAGTTAATTTCCTTTTAGGTCATTCAGAAAAACATAAGTGGATTTCAAGTATTGTGAAATGTATTTTTACATCAGTTTTTCATAGATATTCTTCACATAAGTGGATTTCAAGTATTGTGAAATATATTTTTTCATCATTTTTTCATAGATATTCTTTATCTGCTGATACCTGTTTCAGGATGAGATCAAACATCAGTATGAAGCAATTCAGATTCATTTCATCATCATCACAGTCAAAGTCTATTGTCCTCCCTCCAGGGTGTCCAAAGTTCTTGAAAGGGCTGCGGAAAGGACTGCGCATAGGGCTGCGAAATGGGCTCTGGAAAGGACTTGGGAAAGGACTCAGCATACTGTGCTGAACCCTGCGCCCAGGATCGGAGGCAACACTCACCTAAAGAAACAAAAAAAATGGATGCTCCCAGGTCAACTTTAAACATTTGGGCATTAGCTAGTATGATACAAAAGAAAAGGAGTGAAACTGCTTTACTGTTCTCTGATAGTGCTGTTTCATGGACATTTTCAACTGGTTCTTAATGTCATCAATGTTAAAACATATTGTAAACACAGCGAGTCAAACTCTGCAATGGTGTATGCAAGACAGTCGAGTTCAAATTAATGCTTGGTGTAACGCCACTGATTTCAGTGAAATTACACCAGAGAGGAATTTGGCCTCCTACTGTAAGCCAGCCAGAAAATGAATGCAGGTGATAAAGCAGCCCAAATAGAATGTGACATTCCATGATAGGGCAAAAGGAATCTACCCTACAAATGCTCTGAAAGGCAGCAAGTGGATGATGAAAAAGAGTCTATCAAGAAAATAATCAACTAAGGTGATCCCTAGATGTGTCAGATAGCTGAAAAGCAACTAGCAAGAGGACATAAAATAAAGCAACACAGACAAAGGAAACTTACACCTACATCATGATAAGCACTCCACATCGCACCCAGCAAAATACAGAAGACTCTCATGGTGTTGCAGGGAAGATTACTATCAGACCCCACATTTATCTACTTTTAGGCCAACTATTGTCTGAAATACACTGTAGTCAAACTATGTGTTTCTTAGTATGGTGTTCTGCAGTGAGCACCGACAGCCTCTGCAGAGCCCCTCTGCAAGGTGGGGTGGGGATCCTGCCTCTGTGCTCCCAGAATAGGCTGGCCTCGAGCAGAACAGGTGGGGTCAGGAAACCCAGCCCTCCACACTGATTAGAGTGTGGCATACCCACCCACAACCCTCAGAGCCACTAGGAGCACATCAGGCAGTGATATAAAGGGCCCAGGGCTCCAACCGCCACCACTGCTGCAGTAGCAACGGAGATGGTGGAGAGCCCTGGGCCTCTTTGATTCGCAGGGCCCCGGGACAATTGCCCCCTTCTCCTCCCTCCCCGTCTGCTGGCCTGGCTGTCTGCAATGTCAATGCTACAACAGATGAGGATTCCTCTACTACCCAGGGATTCTGCCTACTTTGGGCATTTTTTAGCACCGTTGCACCATCAGTGGAGAAGAGGATCTGCCCTTTTGAGTTTAAACTGCCTCACTGTCACATGTGCTATGTGTTGTGTTATTTAACAGTGTACCTGTTTGCCTCTGAGTCAGGCTCCTGGAGTGATAATCACGTTGTTCTCTCCTGAATATTCAGTATGCCCGTGGGAGCCAGCCTACCTTCTTCTGCTCCACAGATTTGAAATTTGGAATTTTAAAGCCTGAACACATTTTAACAAGTGGCTTTAGTTTACATACATTTTTGTACCTCTCCTGTAGAATTGGGCCCAATATATGTGTGCTAAAATGTGAAAGAAACATTTTACTTCACCTGCAGCACCAACAAACACTCACTGCTTCCACAAACATTGCAAGCAAAGTAATTGCAGAATCATCCATTGTGTATCTGTAATTCAACTAAAAATAACTGAAGAGTGGCAAAAACATGAAGGTAAGGAAGTGATGTCAAGAGAGGAAACATCAGAGGATAAACTCTAAAGTTTGGAGTCACAAAGAGCAAAATTCATAAGGCTGATGAAAGGAAGAGAACATTCTTCCACTGATCATTATTAATGGCACATGCTTGTGTTTCTTTTACATAGGACACAGCACGGCTGTGTCTAGACTGGCAAGTTTTTCCGCAAAAGCAAAACTTGCCAGCTGTCTATACTGGCCGCTTGAATTTCCGCAAGAACACTGACTTCCTACTGTCTGAAATCAGTGCTTCTTGCGGAAATACTATGCTGCTCCCATTCGGGCAAAAGTCCTTTTGCGCAAAGCTTTTGTGCAAAAGGGCCAGTGTAGACAGCTCAGATTTGTTTTGCGCAAAAAAGCCCCGATCGCGAAAATGGTGATCGGGGCTTTTTTGCGGAAAAGTGCGTCTAGATTGGAACGGATGCTTTTCTGCAAAAAGTGCTTTTACAGAAAAGCGTCCATGCCAATCTAGACACTGTTTTCTGCAAATGCTTTTAACAGAAAACTTTTCTGTTAAAAGCATTTGCGGAAAATCATGCCAGTTTAGACGTAGCTCACATGTTTTAGAAAAGAAATATTAATGGATTTTCAGAATTTTGCCCAGGTTTCAATAAATATGTTTGCTTTATTTTTCACATTTTCTCTGTTTAAGACCAGTGAATTCATTTTGGAAGCCCCAGTGAAACAGAGGAATCCATTTCCAATGGAGGCGCTGTTAAAGAAGGATTCACTCAAATGTCTGATCTATTGCTGCTGGTCACATGAGTTAAATATAGGCCACTTTGAGTTTGTGCTGCTACAAACTGGTCATTTGATTTGTACTGCAGATAGCCTAGAGATTCAGATGCTATGGTGTCTGTTGACATATTACCAGCACATAAACACTTTCAGGACTAGAGGAGAGAAATTGAAACAGGATGGGATTTAACTCCAGTTACTGAAGTGTCAGCACCAGAAAAGCTCTCCCCCTCAAAAAAGCCTCTGAACAGGCTTGCCTACTGGACAAAGTGTTAACTTAGCAATAAGTCAAAGGAAGCTGCTTCCCTCATCTTCCATCAGAGGCAAATAGTATGTAGTGTACAGGCAGATTAGATGAAATAGAAGGAAAAAATTGAGGGACAAGGAAACTATTTCTGCTCAGTCATTACCACAAGTGCCTACGTCCTACCAAACATGTGCAACAATAATATGAAAGCTCACCCTGAGTAACTAAATACATGACTATGTAGCACTTTAAAGACTAACAAGATGGTTTATTAGATGATGAGCTTTCGTGGGCCAGACCCACTTCCTCAGATCAAATAGTGGAAGAAAATAGTCACAACCCTATATACCAAAGGATACAATTAAAAAAAAGAACACATATGAAAAGGACAAATCAAATTTCAGAACAGAAGGGGAATGCAGGGGAAGATGGGAAAGGTAAATGTCTGTCAGCTACACCAGACTAACACGGCTACATTTCTATCACTATCCTGAGTAACTAGACTAACACGGCTATATTTCTATCACTATCCTGAGTAACTAGATGTCCATAATTAATTGCTAATTGATAGTGGACAGAAGATAAGGAAATTGAAAGTATTTGAAAAGTTAACAGCATAAAATAAATACCAAAGCTTAGCTATTATATAGATTCCATACACCAAGTGAAACAATTCACTCAAAGAGATTTCACAATTATACTCTAATTACAACACAGCTATCAAATATTAATTTCTAAATTAAAACTGATCAAAGGGGAGGCGGACATTAACTCAAACTATGTTGATCTTTATCACTCTCAAAATCTGTACTTTATTTGCACTCAAGTCTGGCAGTGAGTTTTTAAATCTTTATATGCAAATTAAAAGGAAAACCATTGTAAGGAGAAAAAAGAAAAAACAAGATGAAAGATACTACCCTTCGCGCTCCAAGATTCCCTGCCAGTTCACTGACTCTTGATTTTCTTTGATTTGCTAATTCTTTGACAGAATTAACTCCATCGGAAAACATACTGATCAGTAGCTGAAGAGGAACCACAATGTCTAACTCAGATAACACCTAAAGAGAGAGAAAAATACAAAAACGTGAGTTTTCAGCTCAGACCAAAAATACTGACTACCTTTATAAATGCTTTAACCACATAAAACCCACTTCAACTAAGTCCATAACTTATAAATGTGCCTAACTTCAATCACATGAGTAGTTTGATCAAGTCAATGGGACTACTCATGCTTAAAGTTAGGCATATGCCTAAGTAGTTGGCTGAATCAGAGCCAAGCAGAGCTGAGTACAGCATAGAACAGTTTTCAACATGCATGCAACTGAAACCTGACTGCTCTCTTTATTGGTATTCAAGGCCCCTTTTACTCACAAACATTACAATGTGAAGGGGGGGAGGGAGTTCCACAAGATGTTTGTATGAAGCAAAAATCACACAACAATCTAGCATGAATTGTTCACTAGATGATACTACTAATACTATTTATCAGAGGTGGAAAGCAACTAAGTAGAAATACTTCGTTACACGACTCAAGTACATTTTTTCGGTATTTGGACTTTATTCAAGTAACTTATTTTTGTGATACTTTGACTTTTACTCAAGTAGCTTTTTTTGAAAATATTGTACTTTTTACTCCACTACAATTTCTGGAAGCGCTTAGTTACTCACCTCTTTTGTCATCCCACTGACACTTGTGCAAGCCAGCATTCTGATTTGCTAAAACACAGCCACATGCACTTGTGTGGCAAGATACCATGTCTGAATCCCTGGATTTCATACTTGAGGTCTGCTTAAAGCTGCATGCCCTGGCTTCAAAGGCCACTCTTAAACTGCAATAGAGTTTGAGCACTTGCAGCTTTGCCTTTGGGGTAGGGAGTTTGTCATAAAAAAAGGGAGGCGGGTGATTAAGAATAACAAAAGACTGGTCATTCAAGTAATTAAGGGATCCTTAGATCATCATGAAAACATTGCCAGGTATTTAAAAAATCTATGAAGCAAATTAGGTGCAGACCCTAGAGCATAGCTGGGGAAAAGGAAGGAGTACGGGACCTACCCTCAAGATACAATCTACAGCCAAAAGGAAAATGGACTTCTAGCCTTCCACCAAAAGGCAGACCTACTGCCTGTGATAGGAGCATGACTTCTAGCCTCCCTTATAGACAAGTGAGCTATCTATCTGCTTGCCCTGGAGATAAGTGAAGAGGATAAAGGCCTCCTGACCCTTAAGATTTGACTCAGAGATGAGTCAAGATAGCTCTTTTATGTCTGAACCATTTCACCCATTTCTTCTTACAGTCCCAGTAAGCTGCTTCAGCTTGACCCCTCTGTAATAGTCACTTACATGCAACCAGAGCAAAGCTTGCTCTTGCACGGAGGAAGGATATCCCGTGAATCGACAACTAATGAATCCAAACATCTCCTCCATTGAAAAAGGGAGTGGGCAAAGCTCAATATCAAACATTTTGCTGCAAAGAAGAACAAAGATATATGCTCACTGGTTTGCTGATATGTGTACCACACAGTAGATCGGGGTGGACAATAAGCCAGATGCAGCTTGCCAAGGTTAGCCCCAGGCAGGCCATTGGTACTTTATTTACCTGTACTTCCACAGGTATGGCTATTGGAAGGTTCCATTTGCTATGGATTGCTGTTGCCAACCAAGGGGAGCAGCAGGAAGTAGCGCAGACTGGGACACTGCTTCCCGGAGCTCTCATTGGCCGGGAATGGCAAACTGTAGCCAACGGGAGCATCAAGCAGCTGTACCTATGGAAGCGCAGGTAAATTAAGTGCCAGTGGCCCACCAGGGGCTAACTAGTGAACCACCTCTGGCCCACCGGCTGATTACTGCCCACCACTGTAGTAGACTGTGCATGAACATTTATACCAATCACAACTAAATATTATTAACACCTCACTAGCTGTGCTGGGGAGCAAGAGCTAGGGCTCTGCCCATTCCCTAACCCTGTATGCCTACTCCAGGCCCACCTGTATGGGAGGAGTAGTACTTCCCTGGAGATCACTCTCTCTTGTGCTGGAACCCACTGGGCATGTTGTCCACTCAGGGCAAAGGTCAAACTTGCCCTATGTTTGGATCATGATACAAATCCAATTAGACTGAAACTTTCCCAAAATGTGAGGAACTTTGGTTCCAGTTTAGGTCCAACTTTAATTTATTAATGATACAGCTGCATCTCATCACTGTATCTTATATCACATATGAATGTGGCAGTTCTGAAAGGCATTTGTATTCAACATCATCAATGTATTGTGCTAAAACCCTTGTTGATTAATATACTCACCGTTGTAATGGCTCAGGTACCCACTTACTTACCTTAATACTTCCCTGAACTCTTTCAGTTGATTATCAGGCACTTCTGTTCTAATGGCTTCAAGCCATTCTGGCATAATACATTCCCACACTGGCTGGTTTATTATATTGTATGGAATCAGGCAGAGGATGCGATTCAGACCTTCCTTTAATTGTGTCACAGTGCTACAGGATTTGTCCCAATAGCCACCAACCTGAGGGCATTTTCAGAAACAGTATTTATTAGCTGCTATTCTTCTTCTTGCATTTGTTATTTATATTGAATCATATTTTTGCATGGCACCTTACAGACATTAAATCATTGTGAATGATCAATAGTATAGTTCAGTGTCGATTCCAGATTCAGCCATGGGAGCTACATGGTTTGTTTTGTTTTTTGGAGTTTGTTTTTCATATGCTCCAGGAACAACCAAAGTGCAGCAGAAGATTTAAATACAGTTCTCCCTAGATGGCCCAATGGCTATTTAAGTATTTAGCCACAGTACTGAAGTCACAGGGACAAACAGAGAGAGAAAAAGAGAAAGACTATAGTTCAGGGATGGGCAATAATTTTTTACCGGGGGCCACTTCAGAAATGTTTTGAAGTGCCCGGAAGGGGCGGGGCCTCAAGAGGAAGGGGCAGGGCCAGGATACTTTCCTTGCTTCCCCACCCACAGACCATGTCCCATTAAGATTTAGTCATAATCTGCCCCTTTGTAACATTTGGGCAGCATTAAACATCAACCAACAAACTATTTCAGTTCATTTCTGACAGCTAATATCATGGTTGTCTATGTTTATGATTCATTCAGCCTTTGCACTTCCAGCAAGTTGCTAATGCTGCCCTAAATGTTACAAAGGGGCAGATTCCCACTAAATCTTAATGGGACATGTATCCAATGCCAGCAAAGGCCCTCTACCATACATTCTTATTACAGCTCTGAGGTTCAGGTTATAACTCTCCTCTTTAGCTCTCAAACAAGTCTCTACACTTTCCCTTTTATACAGAGATCATCCATCCCACTCTTCTCCATCTCTGAGGCTTACATTCCTTTCCCTCTCTTTAGTTCTATAGCTCTCAAGGCCAGAATATAATACCTACCCCATACTGACGCTGAGCTTCAGTGCCCCACCCCCAGTGCAGGGAAGAGCTGTAACAATCCCTACAATCCCTTTCCATCCCAAACCCCATTTCTCCCTGTCCTTGCCCAGGTGGCCCGAGGGACTAGAGGGCCACATAGCCAGCACCTGCTGGGGGGGGGGGGCACGGCTTCCTGCTGCCGGCATGACCCCAAAGCCCCACTAGTCCCCCTATGAGTCCGTGCTGTAATCCCACCACCGAGCGGCGATGGAGCAAGAAGGTGGCTCCAGCTCACACAGGGCTGCTCTAAGAAATGCTGGGGCAGTCTCGCCCCTCCCCTGGAGTGGCACAGCTGGTGCTGCCTCGCCTGTGTCTTCCCCGCTGCTGGTGAGTGCAGTGGGGGCACAGTATGGACTCCTGCTGCTTGTGCCTGCCCTCCAGCCTGCTAAACCCCCTGCTAGCTACTGGCCAGACTCCTGCCTTAGGGGTGCATTTGGTCCCATGTACACTCCCCATGCATTGCCTCTGCCCAGAAGAGTAGGTACGGCCAGGGCATAAGGAAGAGAATCAGGGAAAGGCAGCAAGGTGCAGGAGGGAACCAACTGCTGGCTGGTATTTAGAGGGTCCCTGAACTGGAGTAGAGAATGAGCCAAGGTTCCCCATCAGCCACTGAGGTAGTGGTATCTGGGACAGTTAATGGGAGGACTGCCTAAAACTGCTTGTGAGCAGGGATTTTGGTCCACAGCCCCAGAAAGAAGGAATGTTGAATGACCTGACTGGAGGACTGAGTCATGAAGAGGTAACTGCAGCTCCTGAAGTGGGAGAAGAGTTGCAGACCAAGAGCAAGAAACAGAGAAATAGGATACACCCATAAGAAGGGCTGTTGGCTATGCAAAGCTAATCCCCAGAATAGCCAGGAGAGGGCACCATCCTATAGTGAGCAGAGCACTCTGTTTCAGACAGGGGCCTAAACACCATTATGGATCTGGGTTTGTATTTCTTGATTTGGAGGCAGAATTTGTTCCTTAAAGTTTCTAAATATGACACAGTAAGACTGAGCTTTTATAGAACATCTAGACAAAGTACAGAAAATGTTCTTACCCTGGCAAACTCCATTGGTTTAGGAAGTAGGCACATAACCATGACATCAAATCGAACATCACAAACTGTCTTCAGCCATTTGGTGACAAACTGAGGTTTGAGTTTTTCCACCAAGCTACCAACTTCATCATCCATCATATAAGCTGTGGAATGAAACCACTGGAAGACCATACTAACCAGTCGAGCTAAGCTCTCTGTGGGAGTATTTTCACTGGGAGTACAAAGGCTCACCTGGAAAACAGCAAAAAAATAATTTTCAGTGTATCCCAAGAGACTGTGGTAACTGCTGCTGGTGGAGAGGGGATGGTATCATTCTCTATAAGGGTATGTCTACACTACAAAGTTAGTTTGAACTAACATCCATTAGTTCAAACTAACTTTCATAGGCGCTACACTAGCGCTCCGTTAGTTCGAATTTAATTCGAACTAACGGAGCGCTTAGTTCGAACTAGGTAATCCTCATTCCACGAGGATTAAGCCTAGTTCGAACTAGCTAGTTCGAATTAAGGGGTGTGTAGTCCCTTAATTCGAACTAGTGGAAGGCTAGCCCTCCCCAGGTTTCCCTGGTGGCCACTCTGGCCAAAACCAGGGAAACTCATCTGCCCCCCTCCCGGCCCCGGACCCCTTAAAGGGGCACGGGCTGGCTACGGTGCCCATGCCAGGTGCAAGCCTG